ATGTATGTATCTTTCAATGAACGTTTCAAAAATGTATACACACATGTGTAATATAAAGCGAATAGAAGAATGAGACTAATTTCTCTTACTTCGAATGCGTGATAATTATCTCAACAACTCGATTACTTATATTACGTGTCAATTTAAAAGTGACAATATGATTCATATTTCTTTTATTCTCTTTTTATTAATAAACATTAATATAACGTGCGTGACTCAAATAAATAACTTTTGTCCTTTCATCCTGAATAATTTTACAAATATGTTTGTTCTCACAATCGATCGAGAATTATTATGCAAATATAAGAAAAAAAAATTGGAGCAAGACAAGTTTTGTCAATCTCCTATCGCGTTATTTTATATGTACGTTTTACTTAATTAGATATTTAGAATTTAATTTTTTAAATAGGCTTTAAGAGCTTATAGATGATATTTTATTTCTTTTTTCTTCGGAGACTTTTTAGACTCGTAGTTAGATTTATAATTTTATAAATTAGGCGTATTGGTAATACTATAGTTTTCACAATATATTATATAATTTTTGTGTAAACATAAAAACAAATTGGGTTATAAAGTGTGTTAACAAGTTTTACGATACATCGATCGTTATATGATCATTCCATGATCTATCAATCTTCTTCTTTCAACGTAAGGAATCCACAAAAGTTTATCCTTTCAAAGACAACAAGAAAAAAGAAACAAGTAAATTGTCAACACGAACACGTTTAAATTACAGAAGAGAATTGCTCAAAGAAAATAAAAGAAGAGAAAAGGAAAGAAGACGCACATTCGGTATCCATGGTGCGTTTTAAGGTCAACGTACGAAGCAACCAAGTGAGTATCTCACCTTAGTTCATTTTCTTTCTCTGAGAATGTAGAAGAGGAAAATATGAGAAATATGAAATGTAAAAAATGTACTATAGAAACGATCAACTATATCGCGATTTGAAAATGACGTTTTTGCGATTCTCTCCTTGAACGTTCAACGATCCTCCTCTCTTTTTTATTTTTTGTGGACGAGCGCTTTTTCTCGCCATTACATTTTCTTCGCACGCGAGGCCGTGTAAAAACGTGTCGACGGTATCATTGGCCACGTAACTGGAACGGAAAACAAATGTGTGGCTCTTGTTTTCTTTTTATTCTATTCTTTTTTTTTATGAGTTATGAAAAGAATAAAAATATTCTACCAAAAACACACGCACGTCAAGAAATATCTTACTTTCACATTATGGACAGAAAGAGAGAGAGAGAGAGAGAAAGAAAGAAAGAGAAAGAGACATTAATGCCTGGAAGATAATAATCAAAAAGTTGATACGAATATTTTGTAAAAACATTTGAAAAGGAAAAATAAATAAAATGAAGATTCAAGCAAAAATTTAGCAAAAGAGAGGAGAAGCGGTAAAACAACTTGTTAATTCACGCGAATGCACTACTGACTATATCTATATATCTCTATGTACATATATACATATGTATAGTTACGTATTATATACATACACACAACACACATAGAGGTATACATACGCCACTCCTAAATCGAGATCGTAGCAAGGAAAGAGAAAATGCAATAACGAGTAAGAAAAAGAGAGTACTCACCTAGAATCGCCTGGAGGGTCTGCTCGTCCCCGTCCCCGATGACATCCATACCTCCGTTCGTGATCGGAGCCCAGCACTCTTCCGGGCCCGATCAACGGGCCCCATTTTGTCTCGGAGCTCGCTCGCTCGACCCAATGACGTCCCGCATATTAGACGTTCTCTTTCTTTCTTTTCTTTCTCTCTTTCTCTATCTCTCTTTTTATCGTCCTATTCTTTTTATAATTAATTAGTATTGTTAATTTTTTTAAAATAACAAAAAACAAATACACCAGGGATTAATTATATTCTTCTTTTTTTCTTTTTCTTTGGATTGTTCTGTCCTTTTTGTACTTCTTTCTTTATTCACTTTGTTTTTTTTTTTTTTTTAATGCATCTATGACGATGTATTTGCGGGAAATGTCTTTAAAAAACACAAATATTTTTCATACACATCAATCCTTTCGGAGGAAATTTAAAACGTAAAAATAAACAAAGAACAAGGGCAAGGATATTATTGGTGGAAAATAGGAAAAAGACACGAACAAAATATCCTGTAGAAAAGCACTAAAAGACCTCGCTCAAAGTAGTACTTCTGCTCTCGTGAAATACCGTAGACGACTCGCGCGTAATCTTTGAGACGCGGAGAACTAAACTCTTCTTTCTTTCTTTCTCTCTTCCACTCTGTCTCTCTGTCTCTCTGTCTCTGTCTCTGTCTGTCTGTCTCTCTCTCTCTCTCTCTCTCTCTCTCTCTCTCTTTATACAGAGTTTCGTAGCCCCAAGAGGGACGACATGAGCGCGCGGGCGCGCAAATCGTTATACATCGGCGCCACGGAAATCATTGTCACGTGATCGTCTCTCTAGATCAACTAATTACGCGCCAAATCTCTTTGAATTTGTTAAACAATTCGAGGAGCATTTTCTTTCACAGAAATTTACAATGTATTATTTTCTTCTTTCTATTTTATATATTTTATATGAAAATAATATTTATTTCGATCTAAATTTAGTTTTAAATCGATATTTCTTGTTTCCTTAATATGATTATATCATTCTCTACATTATCGGTAACATCATAATACCTTCAAAGAATACAGAAGTACATAGAAGCCTACAAATCTTATTTTTTTAACCATATTCATCTTAGTTACTAACCTGACCACCAGTAGGCGATAGTAAATAGAATATTGGAATATTGTAGGAAACCAGGACGGTGGATAAAGGTTATCTGGAGAGTTTATATTCACTTTCGGATTTTTACAACGAGAAAATATAAATTTATTATTATTAATAATAAGTACACTCTTGGACGCCATAATATTGTATTCTTTGATATCATCGTATTAAGTATCTATTATTGCTCTCTGGTGGTCAGAATAGTAACTAAGATGAATCTGGTTAGAAAATGGAGGGGATTTGTGCATTGTAAACATGTGCTTTCGAAACCCGCAAAGAAAAGTTTGTGTTTCTCATAATAATTAGTAAATATATATATTCTTTAATAATAATTCGTACGCAATGGCGTCTTTTAAAAAAACAAATACAAAGATATTTAAGAGAGCAGGACCCGAAATAACACCGGATAATATTTATTGGAAAAAATATACGGTAAGAATTTGTATATGCATAATCTATAAATCATTGTATCACTTAATTTAATATTTCCTGTATTAACAATATATGAATATATTTAACAGCCACCTGTCCTAGTAAAAGAATTCGGTCCTATAGATTATATTGACTTTTCACCTGTGGAACCACATTATTTTGCTGTTACTTGTTCTGTGAGAGTACAAATCTACAATCCAATAACAAAATTGGTTACAAAGAATTTCAGTAGATTCAAAGAAGCTGCCTATGGTGGTTCTTTTCGTAGAGATGGCAATTTATTATGTGCTGGAGGAGAAGAATCTGTTGTACGATTATTCGATGTTAGCACGAAAAGTCTTTTACGTCTTTTCTCAGGTCATAAAGCTGCCGTACATAGAACATTTTTTACAGCAGATAATCTTCATATTGCCTCATTTTCTGATGACAAAACTGTAGTATTATGGGATATAGGAACTGAAAAACAAATGATCACTTTTAATGAGCATACCGATTATATTAGAGCCGGAGCTGTAAGTCCTATATCGTCGGACCTATTATTATCGGGAGGTTATGATAAATTAATAAATATGTATGATACTAGGACAAATAAAAAAATATTTACTGTGAATCACGAAGCACCTGTTGAAAGTGTTCTTTTCTTACCTTCTGGAGGAATCTTTTTATCAGCAGGTATGTAATAATATCAAACATTGTATTTAAAGATAAATTGATGTCTCTCTCGAAGTATAATTAAATTTATTTTATTTAATAAAAAAAACAGGTGGAACAGATGTCAAAGTATGGGACGCACTTGCAGGTGGAAAATTATTAGCAAAAATTTCTCAACATCATAAAACAGTAACCTGTTTAAAAATAACTTCTAGTGGTCATAGAATATTGTCTGGTTCGTTGGATAGACACGTTAAAATCTATGATGCTGGAACATATAAAACTGTTCATACATTGGATTATCCTAATTCAGTTCTCAGTATTGGAATTAGTGTAAAGAAATATTTATTATTATAATTTCAACTAAATGATTAATCATATACATTCCATACATTATTATAAAATTATTCTTTTTAATTATAGGCAAATGAAGAAACAATAGTAGCTGGTATGGTGGACAGTTTAATTTCGGTACAAAGAAGAGAAGAAGATGTTAAAGATATCAAAGTTCAACGTAAAAAAATGTCATATAAAAATGAAGGTGGAAATACTTATATATCAAGCGTTGATACTGTAGTGGAAGAAGAAGTTAGAGAAAAGATAAGTAAACACGATGTTTGGTTGAGAAAGTTTCAATATTCCAAAGCCTTGGATTCCGTTATGATGCCGTATATTGCTAATAAAACTCCACACGTGACGGTTGCATTATTGCAAGAACTTAGTAAAAGACAAGGTCTAGTAAAAGCAATTGCTGGAAGAGATGGAAAATCTCTTTCTAATATTATCAAGTTTTTAATTAGACACATAGGTAATGTTCGATTTGGACGAGTATTATCGCATGTGGCCAACGTTTTAATGGGTTTGTTAATATATATTATTGTTTTATTTGATGTATAAATATGCCATGAAATATACTTTATATTATTTAATATTACAGATATTTATGAAGATAATCTAGATGAATTGGCAGCAGAACCACGAAATATGTTTAATTTACTAGCACAGAAATTAGAGGAAGAAGAGGATTTAATCACATCATTAGCCCAATTACAAGGTACACTTCAAATTATATTGTCTGGTGCGGAGGCGCAACATATTATGATGGCTAGAGATAATCAAACTTTAGAACCTTCGAGTGCCGCACAAAAAAATCTAATATTTAGCATAGCTTAAACATCAGAATTCTATCGATTTATTACTGTAATATATTATGTACATTTTCCATTATAAATTTTAATAAAAAATTATTGCATATTATATACCAGGAAACATTGTCGGACAATAGGCTTCTATTACAACATATCACCATGGCACTTTATTTAGACTAAACAAAATCCCCAAATTATCTTATTTCAATTACAAAAATTCTCTTATTGATCCTAACTAATAAATCATTTCAAGATGTATCATTTTTAAGACATTTTTGCCATGCAGCAGATGATGGTTTTTTAGGTATTATCCAACCAATTGGAATTCGTGACGAATCATTAGCATCGTAATTGATATATTTATCCCAAGCAGTTCTGTAACATACAAACATGGTTAATTAAGAAAACATTTTTTTAATGACAAGTAATTTCTAGTTATATCACTTACCGCATTATTACAAGATTGAAAATATCTATTTGAACCTGATCTAAAATTTTTTTTCCAAACAATACAATTTGCCATTCATCGAAAATATTTTGTTTTTGTTTCTCAATTAATTTTTCATTATCCGTTTTTAGCATTAATTTTAAGCCTTTTTCTTCAATACAATATTCTTTATCTAATGTAGACCACGTTTCTGACAACTTGTCTGTAATCCAAAAATTATTAGTTTATATATTATTTAAAAACATTGTATTTTATATTTTTATATATATGTATGTTATACAAAAAAATATTACCAATGATGTTATTAAAGGCTGTATTCGCTGCTATAGATATCGTTTCTCCTCTTGCTTTGGCAATGTTAGTTTTGACATTTCTTAAATTTTTTAATTCTTGTAGTATTACCAAATACTTTTTCGCATCGTTTCGTTTATTTCTTACATCTGATAATATCATATCTGCATCTTTACGTAGATTTTCATCTTGCTTTTCTTTTTCTATTACTGCTTGTTCACGTCTTAACCATGAATCTGCTTCTGCGTGTAATCTAGCTCTTCTTTCCATTTTAACTGACTTTTCTACCTTCCAATTTTGTCTTTTAATTTGTTCTCTTAATCTTTTCTTTTTACGTTTCGCTATATCTTTTCGTAATTCATCAAAAAAAGTTTTTTCTTGAATTTTTTCCATGATTTGAAGTATTTGATTTTTTAACATATCACACGTCTTCATTTTTTCCTGCCATTCTTGTTCTGATATGCTTGAATCGCATTGAAGCTCCTCGTGAATAGTCTCTATCTTTTTATTTAATTTAAACATCGTTATTAAAGAAGTTCTAGCTTCTCCGATCTTAGATGGTCTCTTAAAACTTTTTACATCTATTGTATCCGAATTTTCTTCTGATTTTTTGAGAAAGTTTTCAATTTCTTCTTCAGTTTCTTGTCTTTTTTTAGAAATATTTAAAATTCCATCGGTAGAATTAACATTATGAAAGTTCCAGTTAAATGGATAAAAATTTTGTTGATAATTTTGACCATAATTGATGTACATGGATTCGTTATAATTTGCTGGATAATACATGTTGAAATGAGAACTACTTATTAAGTTAGCCAAATCTATTTATGACTGAAATTCTTGATTGTTAAATGCAATTCTTTACGTTGAATAAATATAAAATTCAAAATGATATCTTAACTCTATTTTAGCCTTAATAATTAACACAAATGCAACTTGCGTTTTTAAGTAAATACATAAAAATATGAATTGCGTAGAAAAAAAATTAAATTGTCTTCTAACACATTTGCAGAATATCTCCTTCTTTAGGAAGTTGAGCTTCGGCTTCTTGTAATACTTTTTCTGCCTCTATGTAATCTTCGACTTCTTTTAAATCTTGTTCGGTATCCAAAATACTCTTCAATTCTTCGAATGCTTTTACAAGACGACGTTGGCAATCTGGTACCATCATTAGGGATTCTTGTAAAACTTCTTCTTGCTTTTTAATGTCATATCCATCCTTATCTATAAATGCACATAAGATAATATTTGAAAAAACAATTTATTAATATTGTTTATAAATGTAATTACTTAACGAAGCAACATTATTTGTGTCGATTATCTAACATTGTTGAATTAAATGAAAAATGTCGCTTATATTTTGAAGAGTACTTTTTTATTCTCACCCTGTTCTTTTAATTGCTGTATTCTTTGGCGTTGTTGCGCCGCTTCTTTTTCATAAGTAACTTTTTCTTTTGCAAGACGTTTTACTACTCCGGTCTTAATTTTCAAAGTTCGTATACGCGGATCAGACATTTCGTAGATTAATTTAATTAAATTGTACAATTATTACCTTTTAAGGTATGATGATTGGCTAGAAACAAAACGGTACGACAGATTCTTAAGTTTACAGGTTAGATTGCAATTTAGAATTGCAGAGTGCGTTCAAATATAACCCTTGAAGTTAAATATAAGATTATATTGTGAAAACTTGATAAATGCCTTATCTTTTTTTATACTCTATGATATAACCCTAATTATGTTTCAAGGTTATTATTAATTAATGTTGTCTTTTAATTTAAATAAAACAACTTTTATTTTTAGTTATAAATACTTACGACGATTATATGTATACATATTTAATATAGGCATTCGATCAAATGATATTTTTATCGTCATTTCAAATTCATTCTAGATCGTATTTAATTCGGTTTATATTCTTCTAGGTGGCAGCACCATAGCGAGTTGCGAAAAGGACGAGGACGTTGAACATCTATATTGTTTGTATAGTACGAGAGAGAAATACGAAGGATATAATCGCGTATGTTGGCTTCACGCGTTTGTATAACAAGAAGGACGTAGTCGAGAGATGTAACGAGAAGAAGTGTCAGTGTCATTATTGATACAATGCAAGAAGATATATTTCCAGCTGCAGAGAAAATCCTTTCTGATCTTGAGAACGTACTGAAGAAGAATTCTTCTTTGTGAGTAGATTTTTTCTCATATATAATTTTTTTTTTCCTTTTAACTAATGAATTAAGGGTGGAGTCTTTAAAAAATAATCGAGATTAAGAGTGTATAATTTTGCTCTTTCATAAATAAAGAAAAAGTAAAAAAAGAAGAGAAAAAAGAACTGAAGATATTAACAAAGTGCACGAAAGATCATTTTTTATTTTATCATTTTTATTTTATTTTTCTTTTCCATTTTTCTCTCTTCCCTTCTTCTCTCTTTCTCTCTTTTTCTCTTTTTCTGTGCTTAATATCTACGTTTATTTTTTGCTTCCGTTCTCTTTTACACGTACAAATAAAGTTCCCATCGATTTTGATTTTTATAAAACGAAGAAAAAGTCCTACCTGGTCTACTTCATATGCCTTAAGAAATATATATATATATACATATATACATACAGGTTTTCTCTGTATGCATATACAGCACACCCTTTTTTTCCCACATCAGCATGCAAAATATAATGACAATAATAACACTCCCCAGTAATAATATTTTTAATAGCATTTATTTTATACAATAATACAAAATTTTGTCATTCAATTTTTTTCTTTATTTGTTTTCTTCTCAGATTTATTTCTATTTATTAATAAGACTTTGCAATGGATGAAGAATAARAARWWTTAAAAAAAAAAAAAAARRCACGTACATTTTCTTCTCTTTAGATTTTATTCCTATTAAAATTATTTTAAAATAGATGAAGAATAAAAAGTATTTAATAAAATGTAAAAGATATAAAAAGATTTTTAAAAAAGGCATGTGATAGTTATTTATTTATAAGTTTGTAGATTAAGTTTTGAAAAATGCAAAGAAAAAACTTGTTTATAACTAGTATATAACAAATAAAAATAAATTTTATTTTTATATACTAGTTTATTTTCTTTATTTTTGTATAAAACTAGTTTATAACTGGTATATAAGAAAAATGTTATACTCGAAGGTTCTGATTGGAAAGGAAATTTATTTTTTGTTTTATGTAACGTAATTTTTATTAACCGGTTAATCCGATTTTACCAATCGTTACCGTTTCATTAATCCGATCTTACTTTCTCTTCCACAATCTCTTATCAAGGATAATCCCTTTTGATTGATTAATTAATTAATCCATTCGATTTTTGAGGAATTTATATTAATATATTACTTTGAAAAATAATTTAAATTGCCATTTTCTTTAAAATGTGCGCATAATATTCCGCAGTATCGATCTGTTTAATGCATTTCTTAACATATTCTTTAATATTTTCAGAAAGAGTTTTGAAATTATACCCTGCGAGGATAATGAAAACAAGTCGCCGGTGTTTCATCAAGAAGACAGTTTGGGCTTAGCATCATGGTGCGTTCAACCACTTTATTGTTACACGCATCGTCGTTTGTTAGAACATCGGGGAAACAAACATAGACGAGAGGATCCAAGCATTATAGCCAGATGGCTGTCAGGTGCATTGCTCTTAAATCCGGATACAGCGACATTTTGGAATATGAGAAGAGAATTGGTTAAAAGTAACAAATTAGACGTTATTGAGGAGTTAGCGTTCACCCGGCTGGCGCTTTATGTAAAGGCTAGATCTTTCGATGCTTTGTCTTATCGTCGTTGGTTATTACCATATGTATTAAATTCAGAAGGAAAGAATTACGATCTCGCAATAGTAGAACCAACGTTGACAACAGAAATGATTGTTAATACTATATGTGCTAATAGATATCCGACTAATTATCACGCCTGGAGCCATCGTAAATGCGTTATGATTCTTAAAGAATTTTACGGACATACTAATCCTAGTTATGAAAAAGAATGGAAGGATTCGTTAGCTTGGTGCCAATTAAATGTATCCGATTATAGCGGTCAATGTTATCGACAATATCTCTTAGAGAAATTCCTACTCGCAACTGATATTAACAGCAAGGATAATTTATTGAAATGTGTTAAGAGTAGCGATTATCAATCACGTTGTCATATGGTAATGGATTACGTTTCAGACGTTTTTTATCTCACTCATGACAATAATTCTCAAAGTAATCAAGAAAGTAATGATAATGAAAAAAATAATGATTCCTCGACGACTCAACACTGTATTACGTCTCATACTCTTGATCTACTTCATGGTAAAGCACGACTCGGCATTTCTACTACAACTAATTCTACTTCTACTTCTACTATCACCAACAATAGTAGCAGTAGCAGCAACTTAAAACTTGAGCCGTGGCAAATATGTTTTCTAGCTTTATCCTATTGGGTAGAGGAATGTAAAGCCAATGAAGAGTGCATTAAAATGTACGAGGATCACGAAGCTCTTTGGAGTCAACGTAGATACCTTGCTCATCTTCTTCTACGTTTCATCGAATCCTACAAAAAATATTCCTATTATAAATCTGACATTATTCTTGATTATCGTCGTCGTCCTACCGAGCAACATGAAATAGATGAGATCGTTTATAAACAAAGTAATGACAAAAACCAAGACAAAAATAAAGAGAAGGCTCCTCTCATTCAAGCCTTTTTAAATCGTACACGTGAAATCACCGATTTAGCCGCGAAACGTGGCTCTCACGAGCAATTTCTTGTTGAAAAATGTATCAAATATCTTGGAGATATTCATTTACAATTTTGAATTATTTTATGAATCCTCTCTTATTTTCGCTTCATTATATATTCATAATTTACATGCAATTCATATAATTTCAAAAGAGAGAAAATATTGTTATATATTGTTACATTATTTATTACGAAGCATTTCTTTTTTTTTTCTTTTTTTTTTTTAAATTATTTTCGTGATTCGTTTTTTATATTATTCTTTGTTTTTCTCTCTCTATCTTATAAATTATTATAAAAAATTAGTTTAATATTTTTAAAAAGAATTTGATGCGATCAATCAAAAATGATTACAAATTAGAGAATAATATATATTAATTCGAGCGCGTCAAATTATATTCTATATGAACAAATATGCAATAATATTTTTCTTTGTTATATTTTTTATTATTATTATTATCACTATTATAGTTTTTTTTTTCAATCAAGGTGCTAGGATGTTATTTATTGGGTTTTTAAGTTTCTTATTATTAGGTATACTTATAGTTCCTTATTTTCCTCTCTTTTAACTATCTATAATAAGGGCATATTCATTTGAAAAGTTAAATCAATTCAATTTGATTCTATGATATAATACAAAAATATACACATATGGATAACATTTATTGTTTATTCATAAAAAAAATAATCTCATCGCAAGCATACTAAATATCATTAATATCAAATGATTAATTAGTCTAATATGCGTACACTCTTTCTGATATAAAATAAGTGGTAATAGTTATATTTACGATAAAAAAAGAGAAAAAAATAAATAATTATATAAAATAAGGCAGATTAAATATACGGCATTGTTTGCGATGTACGATTACAGGGAAAGTTTAATAATAATAATAATAATAATAATAATAATGTATGTGTATAGTAATACCCTGATATGGGAAGTGATAAAAGAGAAGATTAGTTTTCTAAAAAGATTGTCTATGTAAAACTTTATTTCTAACACCTAGAATATTGTGCGATCAGGAAAAGCAGTATCTCTCAAAAAAATAATACTTTTTAGAAACTTATATTGTAATCTCTAAGAACAAATATAATCTTTTAATTTATTTACACTTTTTATTAAAATAATCATATGCTTGATAAGATTTTTTTCTTACTAATTTTCTATATACCTTATGATAGAGCTATTCAAGACGAATTTAACGACATGAATAAGCCTAATAGAGTCAAAAATTTATAGATACTGTCTTTTTTTAATTGCACGATAATAGATTAGGTCTAAACATTCGTATACGAATAGTATCTTTAAGTATCTCTCTTCCTCTTTCTTTCTATGTATAGTAAATATATGTGTTTTCTAATCGTGTGTCGTGATTGAGGTAAGGTCCTGTCTCTTTGGCACAAGAGGAAAAACGAAAATAAACTACTGGCAACGACTTTTGAAGCTAAGCAAGTCGTCAGTCTAACGCGGACTATCGTAGAAAGTCGTTCTGTAAGCTATCTTAATCTTGTGGATTTTTTTTGTTTTTTTAAATTAATATACACATAAATATGAATTTATGATTAAACTGGTTTAAATTTCGTTTGTTTACGTACAATTATAATTATATTAGTAATTTTCTTATAATTACTGTGAGAAGTGAATTTTTTAATAACGTGTTTATTAATATTAAAAAGAATATATTTTTTTTATTCGTTGTATCATTAAGAATTTGAAGATGTCGAACGACCATCAGAGAATAGTATTGTGGACGAAATATAATAATTATTGGTTGATAATAAAAAGGAAGTTGATATTAAATGAATCTAAGAAAACGTGAAATTAGAACAATCGAATAATCTTAAAGAGGACAACTCAGTACGCATGTTTCTATCAAAATTAAGCTAGAATTTTCTATGACGTATGTATGTAACTTATTTCTTTTTTTTTTACGTTTTATTATCTCCAATTAAATAATTGAACGAATGAAACGAGTGGTTTCGTATTTCGATCTTACAATTAATTTTAATTATGTTGTAATCTTGTTTTCTTCTTTCTCTTTCTATTTTATCTATTACTGTTACGGTATGATATATATTTACGTTAAATACATTATGTATTAATTGATTGCTTAATTAGTATTTACAAGGTGAATTGTGAGTTGTTATTAAGTTAACATGAAATTTTCAAATGATTTTTAAATATTTTCTAATTAGCTTAATATCATAAATATTCGAGTGAAATTAAAATGTGATCCAGATTGATTTTTCAATCGTTTAGTTTAAGTTTGTTTCACGGAATTATTTAATATTCCAAGAATGATCTCATCGAACTGTTATAATCATTGATATTATTTATATAAGACATTTAATGTTATTGTAAAGATTGAAATACGAAGTATCACCCGGTATAAATAACAGCGCAATTCAAGTGAGAAACGCCGAACACGTGTTGCTTTTTCAAAACAACATAAGTAATTAGAAAAATAAAAGAAAAACACGATCGAACAAATTTATAAATGAAGTTTCAAAGAGTTCATTTAATCTCGTAGAAAATTAAAATACAACATAAGAAAATTATTCGACAAATTTATAATTAATACAGACTTGAATTTGATTCACGTAGTATGGAAGAAGATCAAGAAACGGCAGTCAAGATTTTCGCGCCAATAGCCTCTGACGCGTCGTTATAGTAGGCACGTCGGACACTTGTGGTCTATGATTTATATTAAGTAAATTAATTTTGTTTAGCGAGAAATGTTACGCGTATATAATTATATTATTTAAATAATTAACGAAATGTGTCGATGAAGTAACGCGTCAACGTTTGAATGAAAATCTTAGATCGAATCGATCGAATTGAAAACGAGGAAATGTAAGTGTGAAGTAGGGAGAGAGAGAGAGAGAGAGAGAGAAGTAAGGAATGTTATATACGGATATGTTTGTATATACGATAATCGATGTTACTGCACAATGACAATGATCGGTCGGAAACGGTCGAGAAATACAAGGACGTTGTTCGGAAGAAAAGGTTAGAAAAAGAGTAAAAGAGAGAGAAAGAGAAGTAGTTCGCGTTACTTCGTAACACGGCATTGACGACGGATTACGACGAGAATTCGTTGTTTCTCGATAGGCCAGAAACACGTGACCATTTGCTCTTGAATTTCATTGGTGAATCTGTTCGATCGTGTGTACTTTAAAGAGAGAGAGAAAGAGAAAGAAGAATGTATAAAAAGAAGAAGGGACGTGTTTAATATATTTTCGACGGTCGATAGAGAGAGAGAGAGAGAGAGAGAGATAGAGAGAAAAAGGTATCCTTAGAAATTTCTACCTGTGTGCTGCAGTTGGCGGGTCGTAAGCCGATCTCTCTCATCGTGTCTCTTTATTCTTTTATTTTTCTTTTTCATAGTGAATGAAATTTTGTAAATACTATTTCTTATTTAATTGTAAAGCAAAAAAAACGAGAGAATGGCGTTAGCCGAAGGTGAAAGGACTACCGGTGAGATAAATAATACTAATGGTACCAGTAATCTTCGACGTGGTAGCAGTTTACGATTACTTACTGCATCTGTCGGTACTGCAGGTAAGATATCTATTTAAATTATACATACTATGCATTTCTCTAATTCGCTATTTTCATTTATATATCCTTTAACATTTCAAACATTTCGTTCAAAGTCTTACTCTACAAATTTGATTGAAAAGTGGCGGGAAACTGGCATATACGTTATTTTCAAATCGTCTACATTTTGATTTTTCATTTTTCGAGATAATATCTTTCATTATTTCATATAAACCATAATATCATACACATTTATATACGTGATACATTTCTAAATATAATTTCCTGTATTTCATTAATAAAAGCTTACTTGATGTTTTAAGTCACACACATATTTCATAGCATTTATTTATATCGTATTGTGTAACACTTTTGATGACGACTTTTTTTCCATGCTTTCTTATCCTGAAGTCTGTAATCGTGTATACAAATGTTTTAATAAAATTACGTATCTGTTTGCTTTTTTTTTTTTTCTTTACTTTTTTCATTAAATCAATCAATTTTTTTACGATAATCGTTATAGAATAATATAAAGACGTTGATGAAATTCATTAATTTTCTTAATAAACGATTATATGTGCGCGATTATCTTTCAGAATGTTTTATTTTTTATTTCCTTTCAAAAAGAAAGGAGGGGATACTGCTCATAAATTTGCATTTTTTTTCCTTGTTTTTTTTATTTTTTTTTTTATCTTTATTCTTGTAATAGCGAAATTGGAGAAGATTTGAATCCAAACGACATTCTACTTAACGGAATCCGAAGTAGCTTTTGAATTTTTCATGAATCACGAGTTTGATAGTTTCCTAGAAGAGGTTTGACCTCGTTTTACCGCTTTAACGGAAATCCCAAATACGAAAGAATGAGGATCAAATTCTTCGTAATTATATGAAACTTTTGCGTCATGTATGTTTTCATGTAATTGCAGATGTCAGACCTTGGAAATGATTAATCAACATTTTTTAGGATGAATGTACACATTTTGTTTTTATTTGTTATATCTAGTCTTTTTTACAATTCCACTTAGTGACTTGGTTACAACCCCAAAACTTGAACGCAACCTTGATGCTAAATTTTGCCCTAACCCTAATACTTGGAGCTATGACACTACTTTCCCCCACTACTTCAAAGATATATATACATATATAAAAAAGGGATGACGTATCGATCAAAAATAAATCGAATAGTTTCTCTGATCAAGAATGAAATGTTCACTTATCTTGGCATTCACAAAATTCTGATGACACATGAAAACACTCAACGTGAGATTTGAATTGCATCCAATTTGTTTACGTGTAGTAGATACACTTAAAGTAAATATATACGTATAGACAAATAGTAGACATTGCTATTCATTTCAAAGGAGTAATTTATGATATAAATTTATGAGATAAATTTTCTATCCTATAAACGTAAAATTGAATACAATTTTCTTTGAAAATGATGATTGTATAATGATCGACGAAGATTTATATAATTATAAAAGGAAAATAACAAAACTGCGAAGAAATGATCTATCTTTCGTATTAATCATGACTAATAGATAAAACATAATTATCTATTGTTATTGTTGACAAATTTTAACTTTTATATATATATATATATATATACGTAATATGATTAGCTAACATTACATAGTTTATTTGTTGATATATAAATGGTATAATCAGGAAACATTTGTTTGTAACGCTTATCTAACATATTTTCCACTAGCTGACTCGCATATGTTTTTATTTGATCTTATCGCTTAAATTATTTAATTGAACGTTGTTAAAATAATACATTATTTTGATATGAAAATGAATTTCTAATTTTATTGTATAAGAACATTATAATATGATAATATTACAATATTATTACATTGTATCATATTGTTTATTACAATATTATCATATTAATACTGGTTTGATTAAATTTTTAATATAGGATAAATAAAAAGTTCTTAGACTTGTAGTTAACTATTTGAAAAAAATTTCTAAAAAGAATGTATATAATTAATTGCTTAAATAATTAAGGAACGCTTTTAGGCTACTTGTTAATTATTGAGAGATTCTAAAAATAAATAAATCGTAGAATATAATTCTTATTTTAATTTAAAAACAATATATACTATATTATCATATAGATTTGTATTAATTTTATAAATAACTATTAGTAGTTATCTAACATAAGTCCACGTTTTTGTTTTCGTCTGAGTTTGAAGTTCAAACGGTTAGACGATTTTACACGCAGAAAGAGAAGAACAGAGAGACACAGTTTATTTTTATGTGTTTTTCGTATATAATAGGTAACATACATACGTAGTTTCTTACAAATGAACTTGACTCGAACAGAACATATTTGGCTTTTAGTCTTAACGATTACACAACCTCTCTAATTTAATTTTAAGCAAGACGTATTTCGAATATAAAGGAATAGGTAACGCAAACAGATGCAATTTTAGTTGTGCATAATGTATAAACATGTCCCCAGTAGCACAAAATATTGAAAAATATCGAATAAGATATTAAATTTCTTTTTAATATTAAATACACATGTATTCAATAATTTTCAATATTTTGTGCTACTAGGGATGTAACGTAGAAAGGATGAATTAAACGTTCTTAGTAATAAAATGTTATTCTAAAATTTATTGGAGTATTCATCTTTGAGTCTTTTTATCGTCATTTTTGTTCAAATTATAAAACTACAATTCCAACTTATACAATTGTAAGCCTAATTTGCATCTATAAAGAGCAGTAATTGATTTTAACGATCGCATAGGAAATATTGTTTGATCTTTTCTATATATAGAAACTTGTGTACAAATTTGGTATACGAAAAGAAAACACATCATTTTAACGTAACGATAGGAAATGAAAGTTTCATCGACTTTATTATTAACAAACTTGTCTTAAATAGAATCGCTTTGGTACACCATCGAGAAATAGATCCGAACTTGTGACCTTCTCCGCTAAAAACCAGGCCACACATGTGGGAACACTTAATGACGAACAATAGTACATTGAAATAACAAACGCGCTCGTTATAATTAACCTAATCTTCCTCGTTCATTGTTTTAATCGATCGAACATTTAGTTTTTCACTATGTTCCACAATTTTATTTTAACGCGTGCTTCTTTCCTCTTATATTTTTTCATTTTTCAAAATAACCTAAACACTAATAAACCTTAAAATTTAAACCCATGTATAATCGATACACAAAGCTAAATATAAATAGCCATCATAATTCGTGGAAAACATTAACGCCTCCTCAATTATTTGGACCGAACCAAATTATAGGTATAACGAATGATTCTGAAAACGAGTGATCACTCTAAAGAAAATACAAGATGGGTCAGTAATTCTTAAAAAATTTTAGTCTTTTACAATTAGAAAATAAAGAATTAATCTTAAAAATAAGAGTGAACGTAATTTTTTGTTTTAAATCACTCAAAAGCTTTTGTAATTTTTCGTAGAATAAACATTTTTGACCTACACTTTAAAAACGTATTGTTGGATATGCAAGCATATATATGTATATGTTATAGGTAATGTATTACTGCGAGAATTGTATGGAATGTCCGATCATTTTACAGAATGCCAGCGGGAAAATTTTTTAAATTTCATAGTTTGTTTCACTTACAATTGTTTCAAATCTCCCTTTACCCCCTTCACTCGTGTTTTGAACACACACCACAGAATCGTATTTTATAGATTGACCGAAGCCCTCAGGGCGTTCTATAAAATGATCAGACAAACTATGAAAAACATGCCCATTAAACACATTGCCCGATTTACATAAGAATTTTATAGAATATACCTGCAAAATACACATTGGCCGTAACATATGCACAGGTGTATATATAGATAGCGGTGAATCGAGTTCGATCGTAACGTGTAACATATATATTTATTCAGGTACCTATCTCTAGGTATACGAATTTAGGAGGCGTGTCGTGCGAATTTGCCGAGAGAAATGCGGCAATTCTCGAGTAAGATGCGCGTGAGTTTGCCAAAAACGTGATGCCGTTGATATGACGATAGTATATGTATGGCCCTGAGTTTAGTATAGTGTCAGTCAGTTGGCGTCGTACTTACGACGGTCATGAGTTCGTTACTCGAGCATTGACTTTGACCGGTTTACAAAAGAACATATCTATTTATTCATTTTGATTTATTTACTTTTTTATATTCATTTTATTACTAATTTTTATGAAATTTCTAATAACATTTGAATTTGAGAACAAGAATGAATCAATCAGGTCGTTAAATATTCAATCATATGGCTCTAAGGATTTATCAGATTCAAGGTAAGTTAGGAAAACAAACATTGCATAGTAATAGTTAATTGTAAACACAAAACCAATGACAATCGCTCGATCGGTCGTTTGTAATGTAATTTGTTCGTTTGTAACTCGTTCACGTAATACAGGTAATAATAGGAAAGAGACGTGATGATATACCTATAACGGGTTATAAGCTGATCTAACGTAAATATAGAGTTTTAAACGAATTAACGGTGGTAGTTGTTTTCTTCAATGTCGGAAACGAAGATCTATGACTTTCTAATTCTCAAAACCAGACTTTCCGTGGTAAAGTACAAATAACCCTCCTATAACACGGCAGAAAGGTTCCTAGAAAATGCCGTGTTGTGTGAAACCATGTTGTATGTATGAGAACCAGAGCCATGAGCCAAAAATTTGTTTTCAGGCCATAGAGATGAAAAGAAATACTTTCCGCAATTCTGTATCTTTAAGACGGCAAGCCTCGCCGCGGTTGTAGAAGTACAGTGTTGTACAAAGGTTTTTTGAAAGGAAACCGTGTTATAGGATGCCGCGTTGTAGGAGGGCTACCTGTATATTCATTCAATGGGAGGACATCCCATAGGAAGTTACATGTTTAGAGATGTTGATTTTTCTGATAACAATAATTACTTTCCCATTTCCCGCTTAAACGATCGTACTTGTTGTTTATTTTTCTCCTTCTTTTATTGTCTTTTGTTTTTTATCGTATGAGTTTCTATTAGAACATGGGAAAAATAATAAACGAAAGCCCTAGTATATTATAATAGATACGTGATGATCGAACGTGAAGTATAGTTAGTTGGTAGTGCGCGTACATTGACCTGGGAAGTTGGTTTAATGGTATCACAGGCGTTCGCAAATCGTTTCAGAGAACGAGTTGGGAACGCAGTTACGTCGTGGGGGTTCTCTGAGGATCCCACGAAATACAAGAACGGAGGATGGAAGGACGTTAGTTGTTGATAGTGATCATTCGTTGAAAGTACCCCGTGACAAAAGATTGTCCTCTTCTTCGCTATCAAATAAGTCTTCATCATCTCTGGAAGTTAGTGGAAGAAATGAGGGATGTGAGAGACCGGTACGACCCGCCAGGCGTTCAGCTTCCGCATTGGACCAACCAGCACCCGAATATCTTGCTCGAAGTCTTCTTCAATTAGGATGTCCTGTTATCTCTATACCTACGTAAGTCTATTCATTTTTGTCATTGTGAATACATTTATCGAAAAAGTAATATTAGTACAAGGTATATTAAACATTTTGTCAAATCACTTAGAAATCCATTCTTAGTATTATATTATTATATATTAGTAACGACCAAGTAATTATTATACTACCATTTTAATCGTGATACGTGACCTTCTATTTTCATCTTGATTTTATTATATATCCTATATTCATACCGATATGCATATATCGATTTTATTTTATTTTTATAACAAGTCATTTGCGTGAAATATTGAATATAACGAATAAATGAAGTTTTTAAAAGTTAATAAGTGTGCCTATGTAAATTTATATGGAAAGTATGGAGTGTATTTATTATCGAAGTTTTCTGCGAGGTCTCCGCTGAGCAAATAGGAAAAGAGGGAGTGGAAAAGAGAGAGATGATACGCGCTGCAATCACGCTTACGACAGATTTCAAAGGTTCGTTGAGAAGCAAGCGTCAGTACACGTACGAGAGTACGTACGTACGGTCGGTTCCTTAACGAGGAAGTTGTTTTAACGTTGCACTATTTCATTTATCATTAAATTTAGGTTCGCTTATCTCTTCTTATCATCTCCTTGTCGTTTATAATAACTATATTATAATTTTATTTTTTCTTATTTATCTCCCTCTCTCTCTCTCTCTCTTTCTCTCCTTCTCTCGTTTTATTCCATCGAGAAAACGTTACAGTGATTAAAATATCATTTTGTTTGGAAAAATAAAAAAAAAAACGAAATAAATAGATAACAGGATCAAACGATCATTCGTGATTGACAGAATTAGTTCCAAATTCGGTTTGGAAATCTTCCAATACCTTGTTAGATTCTTTTGGCAACTTTAGTCTGATTTATGGGTCTAATAAAAGTATTCCCACGTGTGGATGTGTATATGTGTCTGTGCATGTTTCGATGGTAACGCACAATTGATTTATTTTTTTTTTTTTTTATATAAAATAGTTTTATATACGAAATTCTAATGTATCCAATGGAAGGAGGAAAAATTGTTACCGCATTATCCGTCATAAGCTTGTTCCTTGACAAAGGAATTCTAATCGATTTAAATCATACGTATATGTTGCGCTGATACAAAAGCTAGGTAAATCGAATTAATCGTTACTCATAAAACACAATGTTTCGATAATATCGATTTATAAGAAAATAAAATACGATTTCTTATCGGCATAAGGTTTCCATAACTATGATTTATTCGACGAAATCTGTTTTGTAATGTTTGTGAACCTTTTAAACAGGAAACCAACCTGATAGTAGAAAATCGTGTATAACGATCGAATGAGAACGATGGTGCGTTGTCGATCAGCTGATCGCTCGAAGGAGATCGTGTTAAGCCTGTCTTTCGAGTATCAAGCTACCATGAAACAAGATTATAATCAACCTTTTCTAATACACATAATATTTACACTTACTTGTTAACGGTTTCGAATATTAAATCGTATTTTATTTTGACAACGTCCATTTTTGTTTTATTTCGTTTTAACATCTTTCGAAAGATTATCTTTGAGTTTGCGCAATGAATTTCAGCGCAGTCGTAGTGCAATAGAATCCATTCGGAGTTTCCACGTGAATTTGATCAAACACAAAGGTAGATATAGAAATAGAAATAAATAGATATGAAGAATAACAAGAGAAATAGAAATAAAGAATTAACTTGTCTTTCTTTTAATGATCATTGTTCAATAATTTTATTTCTACCTGGAAAGATATATTGTTATACTTATTTTTTCTAGAGGATATATAATATAGGAAGCACGATGCTCTGATATTCGGTCAATAGGTGACTCTCTGAGCGCAGACGCAGCAAATAGACAGAGAGAAAGAGACCCAGGGAGAGAAAGAGTGAGAGAGAGAGACAAGTGTGAGTGTGAATGTGAGTGGTTCGTTCGTACTTACGTACTTGTACGTACGTATGTAAGTACGTCGTCGTCGTCCTCGTCGTCGTCGTCGTCGTCGTCGTCAACGTCAACGTCGTCGTCTTCGTTGTTGTCATATCCGTGGTTCGTTCGAAGGTAAAACGAGCGAGGGTTTCCATACGAGAGCATAGACACTGCTGTCGTTGCTGCTGCCGCTTCTGCAGACACGCATACCGCAATATTGCCGCATAATTTTTGTTTCAAGCAAGATAGAAAAAGAGAAAGAAAGAGATCAAAAAAAAAAGGAGAGAAAGAGAGGAGAGAGAGATTGCATCGTTAGGCTTCGTCGAAAAAACGTGAGCTGAATCTACCCGAAGCTGCAACGACCTTTCATTCTTTTTCATCATCATCTTTATTTCCTCTATCTCGTAACTTGTCTTTCCTATAGATAACACAGAGAAAAGAGAGAGAGAGATCAAGGACAATTTCATGTAGACTTCCTGTGATTATTCTCATCATTTTTAATCCTTCTTATAATTATTCATCATCATCATCGTTGTCGTTGTCGTCGTCGTCGTCGTCGTCGTCGTCGTCGTCGTCGTCGTTGTGAAAAAGTGACAGATAGGAAGATTAAAGAGAAATTGAATGAGATAATGTAAAAGAAAGAGGTGTTAGAGAAGATTATTCTAACTGTTTCAGTACGAAGATATATACATATATCATAGTGTACGAACGACACAGGAAATAATAGTTGATATCGTTTGGATTTGGCGATCGTGTGACGAAAGTGATCTGCAACGCAGGACAGTGGCGCCCCTTTATTGGACCGCCAGCTACGACAACGAACATCGCAGGTGTGATTTAAAACAAAAAATAAAAAAATAAAATAATGTGTGTGTGTGTGTGTGTGTCTTGTGTAGTATTTGTATAGCAGGTAGAAATAGGTTCAAGTGTCTTTCTTATATAATATTGTTTATCTGTTTTTAAAATCATTTGGATATTATCTATTCTTTCAATCAATTATATTTCATTTGATCATTCACGATTAAAATGTTTACAAGAGATTAGGGATAAAAGAGGGGGGAAGAAAAAAATAACTGAGGGTAAATAACTCATTATCGTATTTTATGTCTTTTTTTTTTTTTTTGTCGACGAATAAATAAATTACTTGTGTGTTGAACTATTTGTATAAAAAAAAAAAGAAAAAAAAGAAAAGAAAAACAGCTGATTGTGACATCTGTCAGCTTGACTATCGCCATTTTGCTTTTCCTCTATCTATATAAAAGAGAGAAACGAGAGAAAGGGAAGCATCGAAGCGACAGAAGGAAGGCGTCTTTACGCTCGTGCAACCGGATGACTCGTTCGTAAAGCGCGCTCAGCTGTATGCTAGCGATTTTAAATACATCGACTTAAATACCTGATGCGCTCGCGTGTTTAACCGATTACCTTTGACCGATCAACTCTTCTCTTTCTCTCTTAAATACGTTTCTTCAAAGTGCATTACTTACATTTCTTTTGTTTTCTCATGTAATATAGAATTAGCCAAAACTTTAAAGGCTCGTAGTTTGACAATCTGTGAAGTAGAATCCTTCAAAAAGAAGTCATTCACATTTTTCAAATTTATACTTTGTAATACTTTTAGCCAAACCTGTATAAATATCATTTAACATTAATTTTATTCAATGAGATCTTCCGTGTTTGATCTCGTTCGAAATTTAATAGTTCGATTTGATCAATTTCCCCATTGTACAATGGGTAAGATAATTATAATTTTACCTTCTTCTCTTCTTCTTCTGCTTCTTTCTTTTTTTTATCAACATTCACTTTTATCTTTATCAAATTAATGACGTTTACGTTTTATCCTTGTGAAATAAATATAGAATATCGAACGATGGCGAGAGTAACTGGATCAATGAAAGTTTCAATTTTAGATATGGTGAATTTTAAATGATGACATTTCAATTTTTATTTGTAATGATAATATTGGAAAAGGAAAAAAAAAAGAAGGAATGGATTTGATCTTTTTGTTCGCAGACCTCGTGGCGGCGTTGGATCGGAGCAACCGCAAAGTAGCGACAGCGATGATTCTACCGCGACGCACAGCCAAAATCAGGGTCAAGGTTACGGGCATGGACATTCTCATGGACAATTCGACTCTTATACCGTGCCCAAAGTCCAAGTGTCGGGACCACCGAACCCTTCTGAATCCTCCTCCGTCATCAATGGGTAAGTTTCATGCTATTTTTGTTTCTCACACACACATACACACACACACTCGTGCATGTTATATCAATTTGTATTATCTCTCAATATTTTTAGATATTCTTAATCTAATTCTAAGATTAAAGTTACTTCGTTCTATCAGATAATTCGTTTCTTTTCGTGTCAAGGTCGACAGAAATTCTTATCATTTTCTATTATGTTAACAATTTACGATCGATTGATCCAATAATGTAACTTGATTATAACAAAATAGAAGATTTAGCCGAAAATCTAGGTGACTTAAATTTGAAAGGATTAATGCTTGCCGACGAAGGAAGTAGGAAGATAAACTTTCTTGGCTCGAGAAAAAGCATGGCTAATTTATTGAGACACGACGTCGATTAGTGTCTCACTCTCTTTCTCTTTCTATCTCTTCTTCTCTATTTTGAATTAAAACAGATTCTTGGGACTACGACAATTGGCTGACTGAGAGATTAGTTTCGACTTACAAATATACTCTTGAAGTTTCTAAAGTATTTTTTTTTTTGTTTTTGTAAATTCTATCGACGAATCGTCAAAGAAGTAGGTGGTCAAGGTAGGGGAAAAGGAAGGAAAAACATTCGTTCGTTTGACACGTGAGAACCGATAAAGATATTTCTACGCATTTCTTATCGTTCTCCTCCAATAAATTTGATTATTTTACTTTAGAACGTTGTTGTACGCGTTTCGTGCAATTTTTTTCCTTTTTATTTATTTTTTTTTATTTTTTTTTGTTATTCTTTAGAATCCGCTATAATCGGAAGTTTACAAGTGAGAAAGAGAGAGAGAGAGAGAGAGAGACACATAGAAGGATAAGGGAGAAGATAATAAAAAAAAAAAATAAAGCCTTGGTTATTCAAATATTTTAATAATGTCATAGATCATTTATGAGTTTATTAGGACCGATGATTTCAGTGAAAATCATGTTAGAAATAACGAGTTCAACAAAATATCCATCATCTGGCGAACAGCTGGTCGTTGATAATAAGCTTGCGTCTTCAAAGTTAGTTCGTGTGACACGTTATTTCAAGACTAGTTTTTATAAAAATTATGATATCATTTTTGGTTACGTTAAACAAAAGGATTCTGTAATATCCTGCGTTTATCATCGTGAAAATGGTCAACGCGTAGATCATGATGTAGATCTATCATGGAAAAATCTTTGGTAAGTTTTTCCTTCTTTTGTTTCTTTCGATAGATCAAATCGTGACTTACATATCGAATGTTTTATTGCGCTTATCTTATTGCGTCAGTTATCTAACAATAAGCATTTTCTTCGTTATCAAATTAATTATAACCCTTTAAAATGTTTTACTCTGTCTTATTGTCGTGTTACGTCGATGTAAATAATTAAATTCCATGATACTTCAAAAAGAAATCTAATTTGATAGTAATAGAGGTCAAATAAGAAATATCATAAAAATACAAATTTGTATATCATTAACGACTTTGAAAAGTCTATAAAAATTCTCATATCTTTTCTATACATGTCTGATATTCTTCCACTTTTGAAATTGCATAGGATATCTATAAATTTCATTATGTTTATAAATGACTATATTAGTTTTTGTTCTTTTTTGTTTTTTTTTTTTTAGTTAAACATACACGAAGAAAAATATACTTTAACATATTTAACTCTCAGTTTTGTATTTTACGATAACATTCTTCTTTTTTTGACCCATATTGTCTTCATTTGTATAAAAAAATATATATATATATTTAATTAGTAGAATTTTTATGATTTAGTATTATAAGAAAATAAAATGATAACGCGCATACATTTTTGAATAGGTTAAATCAAATTGTTTTCAATTCAATTCAATTCAATTCGTACGATATATTTTCTACCTTAAAAAAGAATACGAATTTTCTCTACTGGTCAGTCTAGTGATTATTTTTAGATCAATTTCAAGGAGAATCTGCGTACAATAATCCGATAGCAATCTTGTAGGAATTTCTACTTTGAGATATCGTTTATTTTTCGAACACATTGTAAGTAAGAACGCATATACACATACATATATATGTATGTATTATAGATATACGAAAGAAACAAAGTTTGCAGATTTCTTTTCTTTTCTTTTTTTACAATATAAAGATAATACATTTGTTTTATGATCAAATGCTTAGTCATAGGTGTTTTGTTAATTATCTTTGATTCATATCAATAACGTTTTTCGATTCGAAACAATAAAGATTATATTAAAAGATTGTTTGATTCGTTTTAATCCATTCGATGAAACATGAAATAGTATTCTTTAATTAATATAATTAGTTTTTGTATGAATATACATTCATTGTTTTTTACGTAAAATAATTTATCGTTTTAATTCCAAACATTCAAATAAAAGTATATTTTAATAAGTTATTTTTTTAGTTAGTCAAACGTTATTGTGGTTGAAGATAGAACTATCAACGTTAGTTTCCAAAAATAATTACAAGTATTACATATGCATATGGTTTTTTCCTTTCTAACTTTTTGATGGGAGGCAAAAAATTTGAAATGGTTAAATGGTTTTAATTAATTTGTTTACATCTACTTAACATATAATTAAAAAAAAATTTATGATTAATTATTATTTATTTATTAAAAATTATATGCTGATTGATTATTAAAGAAATGAGAAAACAAAAGAAATAAATAAATAATTGTATGAATAGTAAAATTGCATAGTTCATTCATAGTTTCTTTTTATTTTTCTTTCATTATGTAATGAACTTTGTTAGGTTTCGTAGAAAATCTTGATGCATGTGTCACGTTTACTAGAACCGTGCAAAAATTAACTGGGACATTCGTATCGTTATAGGATTTTCCTTTTCTGTTTCTCATCGCTTGCTTTCTTTCTTTCTTTCTTTCTTTCTCGTTAACTTTGCCCATGAACAATAATGTTTTAAGGTTTCCAAAGGTATAAGCTTTTGATATTAAGGTTAATCCCTTTGATCTAGTTTTACTCATACTTCTCTTGTATTCGATGAAATTTTCTATACTTGTAAGATGATGGTCGATTAGTGTCCTTCATTAAATGGATTTAATGAACCTTTTGAAAAATTGTTTATTCTTTATTTAAATTTAAAAGATACATTCCATCACTTAATTATTTACATTTTTAATACAATTTATATTTAATATTCTAATTTATTTAGTAGTTAATCAGTCAAAGATTCTTAAATGGGTCATAGGTTCCTCATTGATAAGCATACATGATTTAAAGATCTAAAACGTCTCGAAAGAAAAAAAAAATGCTTCAAACGTTTTTTTATAAACAATACGATATATCTCTTAAGAAACTCGAGAAAAATAAATGAATAAATATATGTTACTTGTTTGGCAACATCGATAAGATAATACTGTTTTATACTCGTTACAACATTCAATGTTGACATTCTTCAATCGATGTCTCTCTCGTTGAAATATTCTTACGTAAATACTATGAAAAATATCAATTTGGTAGATTCAATATTATCTTTTTTAGAGTATATAAAACATGGAAATAAAAAAAATGAAATAACAATGGTATCACAAATGTATATGACACTTGTATTACTTATTTGTTTGTAATATTTTTATTTACATTTTTATTTCTTTTAAATAGCTCATAAGCGTATTTGCAATAATTTTAACTTGACAAAATTTAAAAAAAAAAAAAAAAGAAAATCAACAGAGTACAATAATAAGGAGAGAATTTCTAAGAAGATTTCATATCAAGATGTTTATTTTCTTGACATAACTCGTGCATACTGGCGAATAAGGAATTTTTATCTCTAATAATTTACGATTGTTGGAGTCAAAATGGAGTCAACATGACTGAGTAAACGTATATCAATAATTATCACGAAGAAAGAGAAACATGAATGGATTCTTTTTTTTCTTTTCCTTCTTCTTCGTATTTGCTATTAATATCATTACGTAGAGAATTTTCCTTTGAACGTCGTCGTCGTCCTCGTTGTGGTGGTCGTAGTCGTTCGTGTTGGTATACGTCTTGAAATTTTACGACATCCTGAGTCGGAAACAAACTATAGTTATAAACTTCAAAGCTCATCCAATATTATCGAGAAAGAGAGAGCAAGGGATATGCAATGATATTTATATATTATATTGATCACGTAAGGAAATTGAAATAAAAACAAAATGATACGCGAAAAATATACAAAATATTGGGTCTGCAACTAAGTGATTGCGGATTTTGTCGATAGATGGCTTTTTAACACTAGATATACCACCATTTTCAGTATACCTATTTCTACCACACCAATCAAAATGACTGGTGTATAAAAAAAATGCTTTTTGAGGCTTCCAGTTTTTATTTACTCTTAAAAAATAACAAAAAAATGTTTAACAATAATAATTTTAATAGATAAATGGATTTATAGACATTTTTTAAATAACAAAACGCTTAATTATTTACAGAAATCAAATGTTACATGAAGTAGAAATTTTGAATTAAACTGGCCGATCAGTCAAAATGACTGGTCTGGTATATCTAGTGTTAAAATCAGCAATGACTTAGTTACCAAACCAATATTATAAATGAATTGTGCTAATTCGATTCATACGTTTGATCTATTATTTATTTGATGAGATAAATTGTATAATTATGTTAGATTATTGAAAAAAAAAAAAAAAGAAAAAAGAATCGGTATGGAGATTTTTTATTCTGAGAAATCTAATCAATGCGAAACACGATAGGAAGCCAATCTTGCCTGACGTAAATCTTCTAATACGAGTTTCAAACGAGGCTTCCATAGGATCGCTTTATCTGTCGGATTAATTGCTATTACATATCTCGTACTCATGCCATTTTTTTTTTTACGATTCTACGCAATAAGATGATCTTTTGAATTTAAACATTCTTACATGATATATTTATACATATAACCTACTTATACATAGTTTGGAAAAAGATCGATTTATTTTTAAAAATCATTTACAACCATTTTTTGAATCGTCATGTATATTTTATTCAATAGCATAAATGTGTATTCTG